GAGTAATGGCTGCGTCAATGACTGGAAATGCGAGAAAAGATAGTAGAAGGAAAATAAATTTCATTGTCAATGAATGACGGAAACACGCGAGGTTTCCCGAAGTTATAAACACTTCGAGAGTCGGTCACAGTACTGACTAATGTCTAGTCGGTGTTCGGCGAAAATACCAGATTTTCACCGCTCATTATCGCAGCGTAGGGGCATTGTAGGGACATGCGGTTTGTTTTATATGAACAAGGTAGGACAGCTGATCAATAATACTGCAAAGAATCGTCAAAATAAAACGGGAAATGTTTATTAATTCGAATAATACTGCAACATGGTTTCAGCATTTTACCGTTGTACGCTCTCCTTCTTTATATGCCCTTGATATAATATCAGGAGTAAGATAATATAGGATTATCCTATATTATCCTATAATATAATCCTATATTATCTTACTCCTGATAATATCATGCCAAATATATGCAATCGTATGTCATGTCTCAGTCTATAGTCATTGCTTGTCATTTCTCGTTATTTCTATCATTTCTATGACCCCACCCTGCATGTCGCCAGACGACACGAGTCGCTGCATCCTGCTCGGACCATCGTCGGTCGTCGTCACGGTGAGCGCCTTCAGCGTCCTGGTGACCGCCTCCTCTGCACTGCTCTCATCGCCGCCGCCGCCGCCGCCGCTCGCGGTCGGTATGCTCTCCTCCATGGGGTGCACCTGCCACACGTGCAAACACCCTTCACCAGCGATACACCCGACTCACCGACGTATTCAGCTTCACAGAGTTGCTCGTTACAGTGAGACTGCTACAGTTACAGTTACAGTTACAATTAGTTACAGTTCTGGTGAGGACTTCCATGAGAATGAACGACGAAGATGCCCATGCGCGAAAATCACAAGTCGAAACTAGTTTGTCATCACTAACTTTAGGGGGAGAGGAGCGTTGATGGGAACGTACTATTCGTTTTTTGTTTTATTCGTTATATATATATATATAGCGTAGCTGCAGACATATTAGAGCAACATCCTCATTACCCTACGCGGTATATGTACGTACGGTGACGTTGAGGTAGGACCATACTGTGGATTTGTACGAGTCTGCAACCAGCACCAGAATCTCTGCCAAGTGGTTCCTGCTAGCGATTCCAGGTGGCAAAATGGTTGGAGGCATGTATGGATCTATACTGTAGTACAATAGAGTTCCTGCGATAGGTAAATACGTAATCATGAATGAATGTTCATAAATGTGTTTTGAGCATAAACAGCATTTAACGAGGCAGAGACACCACAGCTACGTGATCAGCAAGTGACCCCTACCCGTCTGAGCGAGGTAACGACATCTGCAATAAAGATTGTTACTACCTCGGTTACACTCGCACGGTTTGTGACACTACCAAGTTGTTTACTTTCCTGCACTTCGTTGCTTGGCATTCTCTATTAGAATGTCCAATCGAAGAATGAATGACTGGCTAGAGGCACCTGTCAATCTCATACAGCCAGTCTATTCTCATCATGTTTCCATTCTCATTTGCAGCCAGGTCTCATAACATTGAATTAAACACAAGACTGTATAGAGCACGCACGAGGCTATATATCATGCTAGTGTTTGCCGCCGTGGACATTTATTGTTGCCAAGACCTTTACCCAGAGTTGATGGTCGCCCATGTTAAAACTAAAACGGAATCTGTCACTTCATGTGATGTAAACGTTCGGAGAGGAAACGAGTTGGTAAAGGCCTTTATGCTTTAGCACTTTTGCACCAGTTGTGGAACACTGAGTGAACCTGGTTTTACCCTGACTAACAATTAATGTACTTGCAGTACTTGTAACTTACACACATTCCTAATAGCCCCCAGGGAACTGACCCATCCACCCATCCAGAGTACCACCCACCCATACATTCCAATATTTTTAGTGTAAAATAAAAATAAATTTAAATACGAAACATACAAAAATAAGAAAATAACTTTTAAAAAAATCAGTATATCCCATTGCCCTTTGCCACTTTCATTTGACTCTCTATTCTGTAAAATCCCTCTGCCGTTGCCTTCCACTTTCTTTAATCTTTATCGTTAAACAAAAGCAATTTAAAATGCCGAAAAATACAAAAATAAAGTAAGTTGAAAAAAGTCCGTATAAATTTGCCTCACCCTTCACCTCCCGATTTCCGTTGATCTCTGCGAGGAACTCTGCTCCTGTCCTGTAGTAGAACTCATAGCTTAGCGGCAGATCGTCGTCCCAGAATCCGTCGCAGTGCACCTCGAAGTCCGTGACAAGCGCCGTACCTGTCGACAAACATCAACACCAGGTGTCGCTGCAGGAGAGCGACTGCGGGAAACGCCGTGTCGTCGCGTCTCGTTTAATTTTTGCTACATTGCAATTGCTCTTATGGATCGGGATGCATGCAGTGATTAAGGGTGGAAATTAAGAAATAGCTGCCGCTTTTCTGTCAAAGTATGTTAATAGGTGATAAAAATATCTCCTCCCACGCAATATTTCCACCAGAAAAGTTAATAGATTTACTTTTCTGACAGCTGCTTTGCTTGTCCCAGTAAAGCGAAAATGTATTTTAATATTGATGCACATAGTATTACATATACAGCTTGCATTATTTGTAAAGCTCATCTTCTCAGAGATATAAAGATATAAGGCTCTTGACACTACTAAATAGTGACAATATATGTATACATAGTACTGGCATCATGTGCAAGATGAAATCTTACCTTCAGATGGTGACACTGTACAGTCGCCATTTACTGGCGAGGTGTTAGCTCTGAGAGTATACTCAGCAAAGCCCGATGCCCCACTAACTCTCGATCCTGTATGCACACAGAAAAGTTTTAAAAAAGTACTATGCAATATTCAATCAAATTTCTTTCTAAGCTCTATTGATTCAATGATACAAACCATGTATATAATATATATACAATGTTTTTGCAGGCTTCTATTTTGGAATACTACATCTAATTCCAACCAAAATAATTTGATGTATAGATATATAGCAAAGTTAAAAAAGTATGTAGGCAAAGGTAAGACACATTTTCAGTTAAATCAGCAGTAAGTTATGCTATACAAAATGTTATGGTTCAGCATTCATGCGAAATATGTTTTAATTTTTTGAAAATTGTCAATAATCATTTCCTCACAATGTTGGTGGTGCCACTGATTATGCTGTACTGGCAAAGTTGCGAAAATAATAAAAGGAAACGTCTGATAACTGTAATACATAGGAATATAAAGCATGTTGATTAAAAGTATCATAATATAATCTCAAATTTTAGACCAATTTTTTTTCAAATGGTACAGACAGTCCCTGACTTACACAAGTGTTATGTTCATGAAACTGATACAGTACACAATCTATTATCCAAACCCCTTGGGACCAGACACGTTTTGGAATTTGGAATTTTTAGGATTTTGGAATGGTAGTACAGTACAGATATACTTACCATATATCCTGCAACTAGCCAGTACTAAAACCCAAGTTTTCAAGAGGCCAAGTGCTGTACTGGTACAGTACAATACGTATGAGTAATGGCAGACACATTCATATTTCTGCAGTGAACCTTGTGCAGCCAAACGTGAGCTTTGGTGTGCAGACGACCTCCACGAAAAAACTTTTGGTTTTCAGAGCTTTTCGGTTTTCAGAATTTCGGATAATAGTATGTGTACTGTATATAAATAAATAGAATTACAATGTGCAGACAGGTAGCAATCTGGTTATAAAACAAGCAATTGCAGCAACAAAACAGCAGCTTTTAGTCGTCGAGGCATCTTCAGGCATAGCCGGTCCGTTGAGCTTACCTACAACCCTGAATGTGTATACATCTCCCTCGCGCAGTGCTCCCCACTTAATGATGAGCATGTCCCTCCCACTGCTGAACGTCGCTTCGGTGTCGAAGTCAAACGCAGTTTTAAAGTTATCGGTCCCGGGAGTCATACTCCACGTGTAGGTCAAAGAAGATGTAGCATTGCAGTTTGAACAGGTCACCACAAGCGCAGCCTTTTCCTCAACTTTCACCTTCGGACCACAGTTTTTGGCACACCTAGAAACAAGGAGATGTCAGGGCCTTAGCTTTGGTTGAGTATATCGAGGCAGCTGCTCTCTAGATCTTGAGAAAAACGAAATAAAGGCCCAATAAATGTAAATAACCCTAACATACACTGACATACGTGCAAATCACAGTTTAGTCATCAGTGAACCACATTCTCTACACACACTATGCATGTGACACAGAGGCAGCAACAGTAGGTAATATATTTCCCTTAATTTCTCTATCGATAGTGGATTATTTCTCTGACATCATGTTTACTATAATCATACATTATTGTTCATTATAGTAATAAAGAGCATACAATTCAATGCATTCAATCCAACGCAATTTAATTCAATGCAATACAATACAATACAATACAATGCATTGTAATATAATATAGTACATAATACAAATTAAAACTTTTCAGATATTGTATAAAATAACTAGGTTAAAAAGCGTTATAAACGTTATTATTACAATTAATATTATTACTACTGCTATTATTATTACTATTATAACTCGTGATTAACCGACTCACGCGATGGCAACGGCTGGTAGCTCTCCAGCCTCCGTCATAACCAGCTGCTGCGCCCACTGACTCTCCCTGCCAGGTTTACTCAGCTCCAAGACAAACACGACTGTCTGTGATTCAGGCAGTGCTTGCTTAGGAATTGTGATTATGTTGGCTGCAAAACAGTGGGCACATGTCAATTAGAAACTAAAACCGATTAGGCTTCAGTATAGTCATTACGCCAGGTATTGATTTGATTAGGTCAGATATTGATTAGGAATTTATTTGTACAGATATTGATTAACAATTCATTTGGCAAGGAATTGATCAGGAATTAAATAGGACTAATTAAGAATATGTATTTTTTAGCATTAGGATTGATAAGGAGAGACTTAATTAGGACCAAAAAGTAAGTGATAGTACGTGTTTGTGCCTTAATTTATTATATTAGTTATTACATAATTATATTTTCCTGAGGGAGCAGCCAAGCAGTAATTATGTGGTAGAGTACATTACTTCATAATTCACCTATCCATCTTAGCAAGATAACCACGATCCCTTCGGATATGATCTAAATGTGTTTTTCATGTGTGCACACCCAATTAAAGACTTTGCAGCATTTTGTAACTAAGCAGCATGTTTAACCTGCCCTAGCTATCACAGTAAAGATTGGCTAGAATTTCCTGTCAATCACACTGAAGAGAGTAGATAAATTACAATGCAGATACCTGGACAAGATCTTATTGCTGAAAGAATGCCAATGTTGCTCCCTGGGAACTGTCAGAACGAACCCTCAACCCTATAATCTTACATTATCTAACTGAACCCTAACCCAATACTGCACATACCCTAAAAATAACTTAATCCTGATACCAACCCTAACATACAGCACTCCACTAAATCTCCAGTCTTCCACCCTTTCATTAATATTATGAGGGTCTCAACAATATTGTCCAATAGATCAGCTCACTGGGTCATATTGCATTGAAAACCATTGCATAAGTTCACTAATTTCAAATTCAGTCGTCACAAGATTTTAAAGCCATTTAAAGGGTAATTACTGATGACATCTGCATTGGTAACTCACTATTGAAAGGCAGAAGTATGGTCTGCGATGCATAGCAACCCAGCGTATCAGGATCAGATAGGTCGGCTCCCTCTTCGTGGCAATACCATGTGTAGCTGAAAACCAATGGCATCGCTGCACTGTGACGTACATGCGCGTATAAGTACATCAAGGTTGATGATAATAATATAGCAAACTATGTGTGCTATCATGAACACATCTATACAAGATGAACATTTTGTGTAGATATGTTCATGATGCCAGGAGTGAACATTTTGTGTTGGTTTTTATTCTACTACTTATGGTGTACGCGCTATGTCATACAAAAAATGTCATAACCAGTGGGGAGGCACTGGAATTGCATTTTTCGTTAGAGAGCCTAATCCTGAGTATGAATGTCATAGCCTTCTTTTAATTTCACATGCAACGAACGGTAATCAATGCTAACGTGAAATTATGCAGTCTACATTCCATCAGAAGTGGATAAAACAAAATTACAAATGTCCTATTACACATGTGACATCATCATTTTATTTCACAGATACGAAAACAAACACCAAGGACACGTTGAAAATTTAATTTCAACCTCAACCTTCGCTCCTGTGAAACGCTGATTATACCGACCCATCGTTTAATTTCGTCTGTGAATAAATTACGGCACAAACATGGCAGCTTACAGGAGACCCTCGTCAGGGAGGCTAGTGTCTGGGTCATACGAGATGGATCCGTCCACTGTCACATCCTCCTCCCATGGCAGACTCCTCGATGAGCCATCCCTGATGAGCGCCACCAGCGGCGAATGCTCCACAAAGATCCAACCCTGTTCAACAAAGATTTTCCCAAAACAAATTTGTACCTGCTAACACGTGCACGTACGCACACATGCACACGTAATGTATAATCTTGTGAACATATCTATAGCATCTATACTATAATTTGGCTAATCTTGTGTGTGTGTGTGTGTGTGTGTGTGTTTGTTTGTGTTCGCTTTTCGCCCTGATTTGTCACTCAATCGCGCTAACTGAAGATATATTCAGAATCACCACGTCTGGGAGATGGTTCTGGCTGAGAAAAAAATTAACAAAAGTCTTAAGTAGTAAAGTATTATCAAAATTCGACCAAACTACTATTCCTACCACCAATACACTAGCAGTCAGCTACAGCACATCCACATAATAGGCCATACATCACCAATGACGTACTCTACCTGAAACAGGCCTGTTGTAGTATGAGCATATGTCAAATCACCACGTCTGGAGATGGTTCCTGGCTGCAAACAAAAATCTATTTCCTCAAATAGATGGTGCTAACGTCTAGATCCCCCCCCCCCTAACTGCAGAATTCCCCCCTGCTCACTCTGTTTGACGTACACCGTACTGACACAGTAGTCAGTGGCCAGTAGCTGTGCGCCAGTGTTCTGTTGTACCCGAGTGGCAGTGTTTTCTTTTCAGTTACATGAACTATTTAACTTTATCTGTGTCACTACATGGAGTTTATATTTAAAGACAACATTTGCTGTTCTACGGTATACTTTCCTGCTAGTCTATACTATAATTTGGCTAATCTTGTGTGTGTGTTGTTGTTGTGTGTGTGTTGTTTGTGTTCGGCTTTTCGCCCTGATTTGTCACTAGAATCGCGCTAACTGAAGATATATTTCAGAATCACCAACGTCTGGGAGATGGTTCCTGGCTGAGAAAAAAATTTAAAAAGATTTAAGTATTAAGTATTAAGTCAAAAATTCGAAAAATGCTATTCGTCAATAGAATGGGCAGTGCGTACAGCGAGATCCACATCACACTACGTGGGAATTACACTGCGTCTCTTGAACTGCCGCCGTATAGCATATTCAGAATCACCACAGTCTGGGAGATGCGTCTAAGGCTCAACAAAAATCTATTCCTGCAATAGATTGGTGATACGTCTCAGATCCCCCCCCCTACTGCAGATTCCCCCCGGTCACATCTGCTTGACGTAGCACCGTACTGAAACAGTAGTCGTGGCCAGTAGCTGTGGCCAGGGTTTGCTGGTTGTTACCAGTGCAGTGCGTTTTCTTTTCAGTTACTATGAAATATTTAAGACTTTATTTTGTGTCACTTAACATGGATGTGTATATTAAAGACAACATTTGCTCGCGTTCTACGGGTTATACTTCTGCTAGTAGCATCATAGATTAATGCTTTATGAGATATTATATATATCATATATAATATCATCAGAAGTAGATAATAGGGAAGGAGTGTGACTTCAATAAACAAGGAACATTCGTTCATTTACCTAGCCTTAGCAACATACCTACAATTTACTTACGCGATAACTTAACCAACTTGAGCTCAAATCGTACAGCAGTACATTCGTCTAGCATCGTGCAAGATCTTTCCTCGTATACCCGCTCGACAATCGCAGGTAGATACAGACTGATACAAGACGTACGACACGATTATTCCATTCTGTTGCATCAATCCAATCGTATTTGTCCGCCATGACTTGTAACAATCAAGGCAGCTACTAAGCCTCGTAATGCGGCGTCGACTCGCGCTGGAGATTGGACCATCGACGCAACACTCCGGCGAGAATAGCTTTGACACCGCGCATAACAGCTACATACCGCATATCAGCTGGTAATGGAGAGCACGCCCAGCGGCCACGGCGCAGCGACCACCGCGAAGTCAGGCAGCCGCTCCAGCTCAATCGATCGGCGACTAGCAGGAGCCACGCGCTACGAGAGCGGTATAAGCGTGCGCTCTTTGATTCAAGGTCAGGCGGGACAGATATCATTGGGATTGATGGCAACAAGAATGGTAATCGTGTCCGTACGTTTTAGTCTTGGCGAGTGCTGCGCGTATGCGGGTGTTATACGAGGAAACGAATTTCGCAGGAAGTGCAGGCGAATGCATGATACTGGTGTACGATTTGAGCTCAAGTTGGGTTAAGTGGTTACGCGTAGTAAATCGTGAGGTATTCTAAGGCTATTGTAAATGACGAATTTCCTTGTTTAAAACATATAGATCACACTCCTTCCACTATTATCATACTACGCTGATAACATATTATATATAGACATATGGAGGTATGGTATTGTAATATATGCTAATGGAAAGTGTCCTGGCTAACCAGGTGTGTTAGAGATAACTGTGTGCATATATAGTGAGAGGCACATACATGAGTAAGTATATATATAAAAGTACTACTGGGGTACGCCCGCCTGCGCTGGGTAAAATCGGTGCTGAAGGCTCGGGGAGGAAGTCGGAGGTAGTACTGAAATAATAGGGAAGGAGGGTGATCGGTGACAGAGGGAAATGAAAGGAGACAATTGGTCAAGAAATCCGACAATACATATGGGGCATGAGCATGAGGATGATGAAGGTATTTTTAGGAAATAGAGTTGGTAAGGATAAGTGAATAAGCAGTGGGAAAAAGGAAAAAGAGCTGTGTACAGGTATGAGCAGTGTTATATGACAGCAGCAACCGAACTTAGCAACTCCCTGGACAATAATTAGTAATATGGTGGGGGTGTAGGGAAGGTGCAGAATGAGTTAGTTATCAGAGAGAGCGACAATTGGTAGGGAGATGAAGTGAATTGGAGCTTTTCATTTGGAGTGAACAGCACAATGCATCATAAAGTGTTGAGTGAAAAAATGTTTTATCTGTTTTATTCTACTGGTGCATATGTAGAGATTCCTGGCATCTGGCAACCTCCTTGACCCACGTACAGCTATCCATTGTGAGATGGGAAGTATGGCAAAAAAAAGGAAGTATAGTAATCCAAGGAGCTAATAATGAGAAAATTTGTCAATCAATTAGCTGGGTCTCATAGTATAGTCATAGGGGTCTATGTCCCCCAGGGTAACTGCCGAACGTACGCGCTGGGAAGTGCACTTGTCCGAGGTATACGGAATCAATTAACCCTGGTCAGCTATTGTGATAAGATGGGTTAGGGTTGGGGATTGAGATGTACTAGGGTTAAGGGTTCGGGGGTAAGGGAGCAGGGCCGAGCCAGACTCTAGACTCGTTAGTGGGTAGGCGAGGTACGGTCCGGCATATTAGATACGTAGCCAGGTAGCGTTCCGGTAATATCCGGACCGTAACCAGGGTACGTTCCGACAGTAACCCCTACATAGACGCCTCTCAGCCGCATAGTATAGATAGAGAACACGCAACGCATGCACATTGAAATGAAGAAATTCCTACTGAATCACGAACTGCATAGCTTTCGAATGGTACATATGCATTCATGAGATCGTAGCATCTGAACTGAACCTCTGAGCTGAGTGAAGTAGTAACCCATGAATTGGTGAAACTGGGTGCTGATTGTGGATGCTGTTTGTTTTGGTATTTCGGTTTCAACAAACTAGCAGCCGATGCAGGTGAGGGAATCGATTTTTCTCTGATGTGGCACAGTGGCAGGCAGCTGTACAAGTCAGGTGCCTGACATTGTGCAGGAAGAGAGAAACGGAATTCCGAAATTGACGGGTTCTCTCATCACGGATTCGACGGTGAGTTTGACGGTTTCGTGACAGGTTTTTTTTGCATCTAGGAACACTCGCCCGGGCTATAAGAATGGCCCTGTGAAAATGCATCCAGATCGCTTGGGCCGGTTTGAGCCGCTATAGGGAAGATACATACATACATACATACCACATAACATACATACATACACATACATACTATACATACATACATACATACATACATAACATACAATACATACATAATATCATACATACAAATACATACATTAACATACATACATACATACATACATACATCTAGGAAAAAAAAAAAAAAAAAAAAAAAAAAAAAAAAGAAAAAAAAAAAAAAGAAAAAAAAAAAAAAAAAAAAGAAAAAAAAAAAAAAAAAAAAAAAAAACAAAAAAAAAAAAAAAAAGAAAAAAAAAAAAAAAAAAAAAAAAAGAATACGATAGCATTACATACATACATACGAACTCAAATATATATTAGATATATATATATCTGTATATATGTATATGTGTATAATGGGCATCAGCTAACAACTAACAACACTACCTGGTCACTATTTGTCACGCTGTAGCTGCTGGTTGTCACGGTGACGTCCACCTTGACGATGTAGTGTCCGGCCGCGAGCGCGCCCCGAGGCACCGCGAGATAGCTGCGGTCATGCGCGACCGCCGTCGGCATGGCAACGAGATTCTCCGCGACCGGGAACGGGTTGTCGGCGGGCAGCCGGTAGATGAACCACGCGTAGGCGACGGCGGCGTGCGTGCAGCGCAGCGCGACCGTCGACGTCACCGTGAACTCGTCGCGTGGCTTGAAGCGCGGAGCCGTCGTCACATTCTGCCCCGCGTTGACCACCTGCGAAGCAGAAGACGGCAGACGCGGTCTCAGCCAGTTCAGACAGATCGTGCGATTCAGATTACTAATGATTCTGCCGGCAAGCCGGGCTGTCGGCTTACATAGGCACGAGGTTTTGTTGTTTTTGCGGGTTTACTGGCAATGGAAGGTATATGTAGGACTTTCTAGGACCAAACACAGTGATAGCCTATTTGACAGGACATTCCAGGACCATAGGCTATTTTCCAGGACCTTTGAGACCTGGAATACGGCAATTGTAAATAATAGTACTTGTCTTTTAGGACCTAAATATGATCCCTGCCCCAAGCATTGATTTTTCCTCATTCTGACTAGATGGCACGTGTCATTAAACAGTCATTACTTATGGCATGAAAGTATCCATTGTAACAAGTTAATAATTATCATTAGCATAGACATGAAATTTCGTCATGCGGAGATGTAAGCACTGTGACACAACAACGTATAGCATAAGACGATATTTACATCAGGTATGCAGTTATTTGGCCTGACATTTTTTCAAGCGACAGCACATGCACACAAGAAGAGACAGATCCTGATATCAGAGATGCAGCTAATTAGCTATTCAAACAGACAGCACATCACAAGAGACAGATCCTGATGTTGTACATGCAGCTATTTAGCTGTTCAAATAGACATCACAAGAGACAGATCCTGATGTTGTCCATGCAGATATTTAGTTGTTGTAACAGACAGTGTACGACATGAGAGAGACCCTAATCTTCAGCATGAAGATATATAGCTGTTGTAACAGACAGCGTACGACACGAGAGAGACCCTAATCTTCAGCATGCAGATATTTAGCTGTTGTAACAGACAGCGTACGACACGAGAGAGACCCTAATCTTCACCATGCAGATATTTAGCTGTTGTAACAGACAGCGTACAGCATGAGAGAGACCCTAATCTTCAACATGCAGATATTTAGCTGTTGTAACAGACAGCGTACGACATGAGAGAGACCCTAATCTTCAGCATGCAGATATTTAGCTGTTGTAACAGACAGTGTACAGCATGAGAGAGACCCTATAATCTTCAGTATGCAGATATTTAGCTGTTGTAACAGACAGCGTACAGCGCGAGAGAGACCCTAATCTTCAGTATGCAGATATTTAGCTATTGTAACAGACAGCGTACAGCGTGAGACAGACCTTGACATCAGGCAGGCAGCTGCTGGGGTCGCGTAGAACCTCCACCGTGACCTCCGACATAAACTGCAGCGTGCCGCCATTGATGGCGTCGACGGCGACGACAAAGTTGCCGGCGCTGCGGTACACGTGCGTGTACTCGCGAACGTTCACGGCCACAGCAACGTCGCTCGTAGTGTTCAGCGTCGCCAGCGCGTACGACGCCATGTCAGTCTCCACGCGGAAGCTCGTCGACTCAAAGCTGAACCGGTCACCTAGGTTCCAGAACAGACTGGCGTCGTCGCCCGTGTGCTCGAGGTAGAAGAGAAACGAGATTGGCTCGCCGACGAATGCGTGCTTGTTTTCGGTGAGCAGGCCGGCAATGCCAGACATCTTTTCTATGGTCGCAAAGGGAAATCGCGAGTATCGTAAATTATATCGGTGATCCCGCTTTCATTCGGAATCTTAAGATGAATGACCGATTTTTTTTATCGATAAATGTAACTGCGGTCAAACTCTCACAGTTTCTCGGTATAATGTTATCACATTTACTAGTATAATATATGAGATCATTTTATTAGGATATTAGACCAAAATCATTACTTCCAGCATCTGTCATCTGGTGTAATAAGTTTAAAGTTATTTCAATCAATAATATTGAAATTAATAACTTGCAACAGACCTATTCACCTGGCATGATTGACAGGCAGCTCTACATATTCATTGTTATGACAGGACGACGTAAAAGACAAAGCTTGGCAATGAAGTACTACAAAGTTGATAATTCGGTGTACACACGTAAAAAAAAAGAAAAATGGATAGGTCCATTAATCACATTACAATACAATGATCAGTGAGAAACGCATCAGCTTACGGCTTTGGCAGTAAATCCCGGTCAGGCCAGCGATGCATTCGCAGTGAAAGCCGTCTAGCCAAGTTATGCAGGTCCCGCCATTCTAAAAAACACCACACGTTTCTTGCAAGGAGCTAAATATAACCAGATGAGACGGGATACTAGAGAAGCGTTGCCAAAAGCTGTTGAT